GCCTTCCTTGGACGCACATTTTGAAGCTCATATTTTGTGAGTTTGTTCTCTTTTCTGCAACCATTTGAAAGCGCACTCCTCTGCAGTATTGCTGTGCACTAACAAATTCAGTGTTGCTTTACCCTTGGGTCTCAGGTCCTGTGTTCAAATCACAGATTCCCAATGACAGGAGCAGTTCACAACTCAAGACCCAGGGACCAGCAGGCTTTTTGCTCCAGCAGCCTTGTCACAGAGAGAAGGCCATGGTGTATAGCCCTTGTGCTTGGATCTCCTTGGTTACTGACAGAGCCCTTCACTGCCTGTCCTTCCATTGCAGAGTTTCCCTGAGGATCACAGGCCAGGGAAGTCCATGCTGACCCATGCCCAACAGTAGCATTGGAGCAGTGGGGAGAAAGCAGGTCAGTGGGCCAAGAGGCTTTAAAAAATTATTTATTTATTTTGTACAGGGTCTCACCACACAGCTCAGACACGTAGTGATCCTCCTGTCTCAGCCTCCCCAGCGCTGGGATTACAGGAGTGTGCCAACATGCAAGGTTGTGTTGGCTGGTTCGGTGTGTAGCCCACATAGCATGTGGTACTGCGGATCAAACATGGATCCTTGTGCTTGCCAGGCAGGTGATTAGAACACTGAGCTATCTCCCTGGCCTCAAGAGGCTTGAAAGTCACCTTCCATGCTTCTAGCTGGCTTCTCTTCCAGACAGTATAGGTAGACATGGATTTGTTTTAGGAGTATCTCAGTCATGTTTGTTCAAACTTAGAGTTAGTTCCAGATTTAAGCAAGCCTATTTTCCAGTTTCTGCTTTCATGATTATTAAGAATGTTATCTTTCTGATGCTTTCTGCAAGAGGCCATGCTGTGGATTGCTAACAGCATCACTGCAGACAAGAGCTCAGCTCTCACCCAATATTTTTCAGGTGTAACTTTAGCAAAATAAATAAAAAAAAAGGAAAGGAACTTTTGTGAGCAATATGACAAATGGAAGTTCTCTGGGAAAAGGGGGCTGAGGCCATTATACTTTTATGGAGTACAAAGGACAACATTTTGAAAATTTTCTCTTTTCTATTTAATATATCCAGGACTGGTGAAAACAGCCGGATGAAAATCCCTCAGAGATCAGTATTCTCTTTCACTCAAAGCTTAATACGTGTACATTTCCCAGGTCTCTGCTACCAGACAATTCTCTTATTTAACATTTATCAAATGGTGGTGGCACCAGGCATTGGGAGAACACATAAAACTGTAGCTTTCCCCTGGCCACTTGCACCACCCCAAAGTCCAGCCAATTATGACTTTGCAGTTCTGGGGACACAGTGGGGAAGGACCCTAGTGATGGTGCAAACTTAAGGCCTGCAGGGTGGAGCACAAGGAATCCAGGGCAAGAAGTTACAGCCCCTGTGCAAGGGTATATTAGAATAGGCTTCACCATCACAAATCCGTTCTCTCTTTTCTCCCTAATAGCATGATTCTCTTGATGTATCAATCAGTGCTTACAGGAAAAACAGATTTAATGTGAGATACACAAATGTACAAGACTGCACAAGCCTGGTGGACAAGGGCTGCCTGCAGAGCAGGGCTGGAGGAGTGCCAGAGCTCGGTCTGCATGAGGAGATCTGAAGGTCCCAGCCTAAGGCCAGGAGCTCAGTGCAGGGTCCTGTGTGAGCCTGCACATGGAGGCTGAAGAGCCTGCAGTGGAAGCTTGGAGATGACACCCAGGTTGGAGGCGAAGGCTAGAGTGCCTCCGAAGAAGCAGCAGCTGCAAGCCTTCCTTCGTGGTGTCCCTCTTATACCATTCTGGTGACAAGCCTCCCACATGGTCTTCCCCACCAAGATGTATGCTGAGACAGTTTAGTTGGGTATTTCTCACTCAGCTTCACACATTCCACTATCATTGATGTGCCACTTATTTTCATACCTGATGCTAGATAAATGTATCATAAAGTAAGAAAATGGGTCACAAAATAATGTGTCAACCAGCTGAAGTTATTTGTGTCAAATGATGCATCTGCATAGTAAGGCATCACCAAAAACTCGAACTTTTATGTGAAACATGATCTTAAATGTTAGCAACAAAAATTATGTTTTGTAGCTTATTTTTTTTCAAAATAGTGAAGGCTAAACTGACCACAATGGCCTCTGGCACATACAAATTTTTGTTTTCTTGTCAGGGGTGGAATTTTGTTTTATATCTGTTGGTTTTGAGATTGTTGTTAAAATTATCATAACTATGTTCATGTGTTCTATTTTTAATCTATGTTTAAGGTAGGGGGTAGGTGACTAACATTAGAAGCTGTCCAGATGGACCCTGCACAGGTCTACGATCTGGGTGATCAGCTCTACTTGCCAGCACTGCCCAAAGGAAGTGTGCTCCTAGGAGCCACAGCAGAGCACCTTCCACTGGCTTCCAACTTAACTGAGGTCTAGGAGGTAGGTGGAGAGGCCTACGGCCACAGTGAAGCAATCTTCGATGTGTGAGCCCAGTCCACTGCCATGTGCCCTATTTGCAGTAAGTAAAACAGGGTTGATCTTGGTGGACACCAGAAAGACCCCTCTACACAGACTAGAAAAGCACATAACAAGCTGGGAAGCAGGAATAATGTGACCCCCAGACCATTGACTGATGTTACAAAGCAGGAAATGTGCAGGAGTTCTGTGTCCTGGTGGAAGCAAGGGACCTGGTACTCCAGCTTCCTTTGACTTGGCCAGTAGTTTGCCCAGTAGTCTCCTAGCTGCTAGTTACCTGCTGTGCACATTTATTGTTTGGCAAGCACCAAACGAACACAGCCCTCTTTTAGTGACTGGGAAGGAATCTTTTCCTATTATGGATCTGGTAGCTTGGGTTATAAATCAGTTCTCCGTGAGCTTGGTTAATGTAACTCGGGCTGCAAGCCCTGCTGAACGGCAGCATGCCAAGAAAGCCCAGTGCCCAGACTCTCTCCCCTGCACCAGGAGGCTGGGTTTGGGGAAGTGGGGCAGATGTGCCCAGGCCCCCTGTTCCGTGACAGCACACTGACATTTTAAAACTTTAAAACTAACTTGAGAAAATTGATTTGTGAAATGATATTTTGATGGAAAATTTTTGTCTGTGATCCACAGTCCTTAGCACTTTTCCTTACTCTTTTTTAAGATGTAAGAATTGAGTTGGATAATTTTGTAGCATTTCCATAAAATTGGTGCCAAATACTTTTCTTTTTCTGTTCCTCCGGAAAATTCCCTGGCTTAGCAGTATGGTCACTTCCTGGCAACCCCCTGGCAGTCTTGAACTCAGGGCATCTGAAAGGCTTATTCTGCCAGGGAGGAAAATAGTTGGTGCCTGAAGATGCTTCTCCTTCCAGCATACAGGGGAAAGAGAAAACAATTTCAGATGAAGTGATTGAAATTTTGACCATTCTAGTTCCAAAGAGTTCTCGCAATCTGGTGACAGTTGAATTTGATTGAGAAAATATGCAATAAGAGGTAAACCAATAAAACTGTTTGCTTCCCCACTCTCTCCTTTCATCTGCATATAGATGGAATTATTTTCCATATTTGGGGAACCCTAATCAAGTCTTCAGGCTCCCTGGCTCCTGGGCCTTGGCCAGCACTACTCCTGAGGGAGCCTCAGATAGCACACCTTCTGGGGGCCTATGCCACACTTGATGGGCTTGTCTTTCTCCTTCATTTCTTGTTTTTTCCCTTAATTCTAACAGAATTTAATTAAAAACATGATACTACAAGAAAAATGCCTCAGGGACATTTCTCCCCAGAGTTCAAGCATCTCCACTCTTTATTCTTTACAAGGCTCTGTGAGATGGGTGGGGGAGAAGGATATTATCTACTTCACCTAATTCTTTAGGAGTTGTTTTGATCCTGATTGTACAGGATCTCACGTGGAGCTTTGCATTTATTTCTTGAGTGAGCTGAAGGCACAGTGGGAGGATAAAGGCTTGAAAGGTATCTTCTCCCCAATACAAAATTGCTTAAAATGAAAAATAGTAAAATAGAGTTCTTGACATGTAAATGTGCAAGAGTGTATCCACAGGACTCCTGAGAGAGCAGAAGCTCAGCTCCCTCGTGTATGCATTCAGACGTCACCAGCTTAATTGCAAGAAAGTACGATGGCGGGAAGTGCCCCGGTTGTGGTGGTGAAGGTCACTCCTGAAGGGTTCCACTTGGAGGAATGGTCACAGTGTCCCTGAGCAAGTCCTCTGAGGTCCTGTGTTCAGGAGCTGAGCGGGGATTCAGGAGAGAGCACCTCCAGTCCTCACCATTTGCTGCGTTAGACACAAAGGTAGGCTCTGTTGCACAATACCTCCTGCATCTCTGCTCTCTGGTCTCCCAACCACTCTGTGGCAGGGATTTTAAGCAAGAAGGCTTAGGACCGAAGTTACCTCAGAGGTTGCTGGTTATCATGGACAGCCACAGGGCTCCCATGACATTTATGATATCAGCCTTGTTTGTCAGAAAAAAAAAAAATTCCTCCTAATAAACAATCTGCTCAAGTCTCTCTTTCTGAAAGGTGACAAGTGTTTCAGGGAAAACAGGACAGAAAGTGTCTCAATTCTATGAGAGGTTTCTGAGGCTGTCATTTACAGCCCCTTTGTCATGATGAATAATTGTTCAGAAATTGTTGAATCAGGGGCCAAGGGCAGGAGGGTTATAGGGAGAGGCTGCAATCCTTGATCAGCATTTGGAGCGGAGCACAGCAAACTGTGCTGTGGAGACCCAGTCCTGACCTCTAGGTCCGCAGGATCTGATGTTAGCAAGTCTGCCTGTCTGGCCCTCCCTGGGGCCCTGATCATATCAACAACAGCACTGCAAGGCCGAGGACAAGGCCATTTCCTGCCTTTGTTAATTAAAATAATTTTCTTGCATTGATCTTATTAGGACAAAATTCTATTTGGGCAAGGCACTACCTTCAGGGTAAAATTAATCAAACATACAGGAGGCTTTCTTCATTGTTCATAAGAGTTCTTGAAATCTTACTGAAACCTTATGAACTAGAAGGAAGTGGGTGTCAGTACCTGGCTTCTTAGGAAGACCTTGGGGCTTGTCACTGTCCGACTGTCTTCTGGCTGTCTTCTGTTGGAAAACTGTGAACAAAACAGAGGACATGTTACTTACTGAACGCACACATACACACACACACACACACACACATATATATTTTAAAGTCAAGCATACCATGAATATCTCCAGGAAGCTAGAATGCAGAAAAGCATTTCCCTTAGTAACAATTCCTGAATGCATTACTTTTGAGTAGGAGGATTATTACATTTGTAATTTCCTCATTTGTGCAGTTTATCAGTCATTTTGGAAAAGCATTTCCTTTGGACAGAGTAGTACAATGCTGATGGAATGCCTCATTAAACCAGTTAAATCGAGTTAGGATTCCATTTTGATATCAGGTACAGATAAAAGCTGCATTTCGTTAAAAGTGATAGATGTTAAAATTGCATGAAAAATTCCATTTGCACAGGAATTACTCAGGCTGATGTTTTGGTGATAAGCGAGGATAATGACTGTTTCTTCTTAAACAGATGAAAAGAGTGTTGTATTTCATAGATGTAATAATAAAAACGGCACTTTATTCTTGCATCATCCATCCAGGCCTCAGACCTATTAAAGTTGCTTTCTTGAATTACTTCATTATCTGAAAAGTGCTTTGTTCTCATTTATTATTTCTCACACGAAATTCTGGGAGGCAAGTCAGCATTACTCACCCCATTTTGCAGATGAAAGATAAAATCAACTATTTAATATTCATGAAGTACCCACAAAGTTCTGGATACATTCTGGCATTTGCTAATGAAAAAGTCCAGACCCTTTACAACTTTACTTTGGAAAAATGAACATTCCGGAGTTACATTTATTTTTTATGGGCAGCCTGAATTATGGGTTTTGGGAACTGGAAGAGGCCTGGGAGATTACATCCAACTTCAGCTGTTTATAGATGGGGGAGTTGGAAGTAACTCGTCTATAAAAGGCTAAGTCATTTTGCTCTGATCCCAGGACTGCTGTTGGTGGAGGAGCCATTTAGATATTCAAGCCTTGAGCTGTAGGCTGCTGCTGAGTCTTCAGAGCATGGCTGCCTCCCCATCTCATCTCTGCAGCTAGTCATTTGTAACTAGTCCTTCTCTGCAATTTGTCTCTCTTTGTAACCAGCACTCTCTGTAATTAATCCCTCTCTGTAACTGGTCTCTCTGGAGGGAAAAAGGAGACAATGGTGAAAGGTTGAAAGGAACCTCATGGCTTTTCAGCACTGTTGGTCTCTCCTTCCTTCCTTGAGCAGCTCTGGAGGAATCTCTGGGAGAGGGAATTAAGGCTGGATGGCACTGGGTCCCTGACACCAGGACTGGGAGACATTTGCAGAGGTAACTGTGAATGTCTACCTTAGTTTTCATGCTATTTAAGCCAATCTATTATCAAGATCATATCTGGGATTAACAGACACAGACAACATCTTTTGAATTTTCAAAAGATCCCCAAATCAAATGAAATCAATCAAATCAAATTATCAGTTGTTTATTAAGCATCTAATTTGACAGATGCTCTCCAGAGAAAGAGATGTGAGAGGCTTGCATTTTCCTAACATATGATGCATCTTAGAAAAGTTTTCAATAGACATAATGTTTCTGGTTGAAAATTGGTTTTCTTCTTTAAGTTCTATGTTTACAGTTTTGTGCTATACATTTGTGTCTTACAGTTTTGTCTTGTGTCTTACATTTTTTCCTAAAATAAATCTTATTGAAAGATATAGGGCATAGGAACATATTTCAGGATATAAGAAGAATTTTTTTTCAAGTAGTGCTTCATCATTTCTATCGGCCAGAAGGAATTCTGACCAAAGACCATGTTCATAGTTTAATGCTAGGCAGGCTCTGTGCTTTATTTTTTCCAATATTAAGATATAACTTTGGCTGTTTCAAAGACTAAGGGGCTGCCATGGGGCATAATTAACATGGAAAACAACTTGAACCAAAAGACAAACCATTCAACTCCAAAGCACCTTCACTGGGAAGTCTAAAGAAGGTTTGAAGGTATAGTATATCTGGAAGTGGAATTATTTTTCCAGATTTTGGGGTGCTTATTTTTTATAAATCACTGTGTATACTGTTTTCCTGGAATACTTTCTGAGGCCAAGACGTGCTCAGTCCATGTAAAATACCATGAATTTTAAGCCACTAAGAGCTCTGCCTAGTGAGGACACCAAGTCGTCCCAAGGGCTGACTCACTCATTCTAAGTTCTCACCACCAGGGGTGGCACTGCCTGAGTGGGGCTGGGAGGGGATGAAGAGTCTGAACAAAGTCTGAGAAGGTGGGTGTGGGTGACATACCTTCTGTAAAGGGGAGACATGCAAATATCCCTCCACTTGTCTGAGCAGCCCTGGCATTGCCTCAGCCTCTAGAGGTACCTGGTCTCAATTCCTTTTTCCCATGTGCTGGGGAGCTCAGTTCCTCCCCAAATTCTGCATCAGTCACTTACTGTCAAACACATATCTTTTCAACATGATGAAGGCTTGAGTCTGCTCGTGTGACAGGAAGAGAAGTGAGCCTTCCTTAGAAGATGGGCAGGGCCGTGTCACCTTTCTGTCTGGAGAATGTCTTGGTCACAGTGACTCTGGCTCCTGTCCACTTCGCCATGCTGACTACTGCATATATAGAACAGCTTTAATTCCCATGAAAACCCTGAGCAATGGGGGCTATGGAGATGGTGTAATTTGCACAAATTTACACAACTTTAAATGGCAGAGTCACAAGTCAAATTCAGTTCAGTCAACTTCAGAGCCCTCCTGAGCTGAAGTGCATCACCCTGCTAGCCCTAGAGGAGACCCCTCTTAGTGGACCATCTCCACAAGCAGCTTAGTTGTCTCAAGTCACTACTTGCTTTGGGTTAAAAAGATGCACAGGTTAAAATTCGTGGTGGAAAATATTGCGAATTCAAGACATCAAAAGCAAGGAAACATGGTGTATAAGTGAACAGCTGTCTAATACTTTGTGCATAGCTGTCCAAATGAACATTCTCTAAAGGATTCCAGGGTTACTCTAGAAGAAATGGGAGTCCACAAGAGCAGAGTTTCTCAGTAGTGGTGCTGTTGCTATTTTGGCCCCAATGATTTTTTTTTTTTGTTATGGAAACTAGTCTATAATTTGTAGGGTTGTTAGTGAAGTCTCTGATCCCTACCTCTTCCGTGTCCCTAGTACTGTGATAGCTGTGACAAGTGAAATGTCTTTAGATGTTGCTAAGGGTCCCAAGGAGGGCAACTTACCACCAGGGATGAGGTACTGTTCAAGGTCAATTAAACTTCTCACCAAATGTGTTTATCAGAGAATTTAGGAGCAACTTAACTTAGGGGGAATGGCCCAACATTCATTCTTTTACTGAATGAAAATCCAAGTGCTTGATCATATTTGCACTCCTTTTCTCACCCAGTACTTGCATCTGGGCCACTTCACACAGATCTCTGCCTTTTTCCCCTCCCCACGGGGCAGTGAATTGAGTCCTTGGAAGATGAGGGTAGGAAAGTTCATCACTGTCACGCAGACACTAGCATATGGTCAGGAAGGCCAGCCTCTGAGTGTGTTCCGGAACTGGGACCATGGAGCTCTGCTGCGGGGACAGCAAGAGCAGTGCCACACACTGGGGTGACACTGCAGCAGCATAACTCCCTGAAGGACAGGGTGTTGCAGGTCAGGAGGACCGGTTCTTTGCTGAGTGGGATCAGCACTCCAGCTTAGAAAGGAGAGAGGCCAAGTGTTCCAGGGAGCAGCAGATACATGAGGCTCAGGGACACACTGATAAAAGTGTCGCTCTGTTCTCAGAGCACCTATGACACAGACACTATGTCCTGAGCCACAGAGTTTGGACAAGGACACCCTGTGGAGTGGCACCTGAGGCTCTTGATCTTGGTTTATTTCTTTCCCGATAAGGACAGGGATCGTTCTACCCTGTCAGATTTACAATGATGTGTATAATTTTTTTCCAGGAGTTTCTACAAGGTCTTTTATTCTATGTTGTTTTTCTATTTTGCATTGCAATTACGTTGTATGTGATCAGTTTCAAGTACAGGTGAATTGGAAGTGGAAATTTTCTGAGAACAACTGAGGCGTACTTGACATTTTGGGGTCCTAGTAGTTGAGAAGCTCTTAGAAAGGTCATATACAACTTTACGTTGCAAAATGCCAAGGGAAACTTGACAGCAGTTGAAAATTTTATTTTACCCCAGGTCAGTCACATAGACACTGCAGAGGATGTTTATTCTATTAACTGGCGAAGGGAAGATGGGAAATTGTCCATAGATATCAAAAAGTCTCTCCCACTAGGCATTCATCTCTCTATGTGGTTTACAGGTATAGTTTTACTGCTAATCTATCTATACCATGCTAAATGTGCATTTTCTTTCCTTGATCGAGGGTTGTGTCACTGAAGAAGACAGTAAATCAGTGGATCCATGCTAATTACTCTGCATCCTTAGCTTTTAATGACCACAGTCTGTTTCCCTATAACAAGGAGAAAAAAGTGGAGAGAGTATGTAACTGAAAACAGATGGACTTGAAAAACTTTTAAAGAGAAACAAGTTTTCCTTGACACTGTTAATGTAAGATTACTCAACAGTGGGATAAAAACAATCAGAGACGTAGCCCTTGATAAGGGGACGGTGGTGATGGAACAGCCTTGCTCTCACCCATTGCACTTGTGATATAGTTAGGAAGCTTAGCTATGGGTGAGCATCAGCTTTGTTCCATTTTTTGTGGGATCATCCCTTCAAATCAGCAGTGCTTGGAACACTGGGGGTTTCAGTGGAAATTTAGGAATTATTACCTTTATGTATGCTTCAGATCACCTGCTAATGAAGTTACTTATTCTAGTGGTATTGATGTAAATCTTTTCACTTTTTGTCATATATTCTTTCTGCTAATAATTCAAGTCTCTACCTTGAATTCAGTACTAAATTTGGCCACCAAAATGGAGTGATGGCAAAACCAGATGAGGCTGGTCTCTTCATGGATCTTATGAGTTAAAAAGAGGAAATAAATATGAATATTGCAAAAGTAAATTTATAAGAAAGAAATTTGTGGCAGGATAAGCTCAGGCATGGGAGAGAGCCCACCTCCCCACTTCCTGAATTTTCTACTTGGGAAAGCACTGACAGTCATGGAGCATCTGTTCTCTTTTGCAAGAGGGGCTGTGCATGCTAACCGTGGATGATTGCTGTGTGAATTAGAAAACATCGCAAACACTGCCTGATAGCTGTTATTTCGAGTGGTGAAGCCAGTTTGACCCATCAGAGAAGAGGACAGGGCCCTCTTTCCTCAATCACCCAAGCTCCATTATCAATTTTCTTTATTTTCTAGCTCCACCAAAATCCAAGAAATACACAGACATTTTGTCTGTATCAGTTCATCAAAGTGATCCTTTGGCAAGAAACTGAGAAAAACAGCAAAA